GGATTTTTTATGTCCCAGCAGTTTTTAGCAATGTGTCCATGCCCACAATACTGGCAAGTTACTTGAGGTGCCATACCCATTCTTTGTTGAGGTGCGACCTTTATCTCCAAGAATGCTTTGCTGATTTTGGTTGCGACCTTTATCTCTTCTACCTCTATAATGGCCACGTCCTCGACCATTTGTAAGATTATAAAAACTATAAAAACCCTAGTGAGAGATAGAGAGAGAGTACACCTCAATTCATTCATTTAACACACTACATTTCACACTAGTGTATATATATATATACAGTGGACAGAATTACCCTTGAGGGTAAAGAATGAACGAATTCCCTATACAATGTTTTTAAAGACAGTCTCTCTCTTAACACTACCCCTCAAGTCGAGCATGCATCTTGTGCATTGAGAGCTTGTCTGTGGACTTATGGTATCTTGGTTCTCTTAGAGCTTTAGTAAACATGTCTGCCAGCTGATGGGATGAAGGAACAAAGGCTATGGAAATAGCACTAGATACAACCTTTTCTCTAATAAAGTGATAATCAACTTCTATGTGTTTAGTGCGAGCATGGAAGATAGGATTGGTGACTAATCACATAGCACTTTGATTATCACAAGCTAGAATGGTTGGCTTAATTGTGGAAACACCAATTTCCTTAAGGAGCATACGTAGCCAAGTAATTTCTGCTGCAACAATACCCATTGCTCTTTGTTTTCACTCTGTATTTGATTTTGATATTGAGGCCTGCTTTTGCTATTCCTGGAAATTAGACTCTCTCCCAAGAAGATACAGAATCATGTAATGGACCTACGATCATTAGGACACTCTGCTCAGTCAGCATCAGAGTATGCTTTGAGGTCAGGTGAACTAGATTAAATATAGAATAAGCTATCATGTATAGAACCCTTTAAATACCTCAAAATCCTTTTTATGGCTTCCCAATGAGGCTGTCGGGGACCCTGCATGAACTAACATACTGTATTCACTGCATAAGCAATGTCAGGGCATGTAAATGTAAGTTATTAAAGACTACCAACAACACTTCTGTACAAGGAAGGATTGGGTAACAGTTCCCCTTCTTCAGTTCTTAACTTCCTATTTACTTCAAACAGGGTGGAAGTAGGCTTGCATCCCAACATCTTTATTTTAGAGAGTCAATCAATAATATATTTATGTTGGGTGAGAACAATACCTTTCTCTGTCTGATGAATTTCAATACCCAAAAAATATTTCAGTTCTCCAAGGTCCTTCATCTCAAAGTTCAATTTCAATTCTTTCTTAATATGTTCAATGCCTTTAATGTCATTTGCTGTAACAATGATGTGATCCACATAAATTAGGAGGAGGATAATACCTGAGGATGATCTTTTTAAAAATAGGGAGTAGAGTAAACAATCGAATTTCTCAAACCATGCCCTAGGAGCTTGCTTGAGTCCAGAATTCACTCTTTTTAATTTGTAGATATGCGATGTGGTCGTAAGGGATCTTCAAATCCTTTGGGTTGTTGCATGGACACTTCTTCTTTCAAATCACCATGAAGGAACACATTTATCACATCAAGTTGATGGAGTTTCCAATTAAACATAGATGACAGAGCCATAACGCATCGAATAGTGAGTGCCTTTACAATTGGACTGAAGGTTTCATCATAATCAATGTCTTATTCTTGACTAAACCCCTTGGCCACTAGTCTAGACTTCAACCTTTCAACTAAGCCATTTGATCTGACCTTAACTTCGTACACCCATTTTGAGCTCACAACATTTTGCCTGGAGGCAATGGCACTAATTCCCAGGTATGATTTCTTTTAAGTGCACCAATCTCTTCTTTCATTGACGCCTACCACCCAGTGTTAGAGGCATCTTCTTCATAGGTTGTTGGTTATTGAATTTGAGAATTGTTTGGTGCAACTGCTCATATGACAGATGACAACTCTCAACTTTGAGGCATAATTTCTTACCACGGTCCTTGCATGGTATTCATTAGAGATAGTTCTGTCTTACCTATAACTCATATTGGAACTGTGATTATTTCCACTACCTTTGGTTCTTTAAATAACCTTAATATTTTACTTGTTTCCAAACTTAAGAAACAAATCATATATGTATCTCAACTTGCTAAAGATTTTAAGTGTTGTTTTGAGTTTACTCCTCATGATTGTATTGTGAAGGATCTACAAAGTGGGAAGGTGATTGCTGAGGGGGTGTTAAGAGAGAGATTGTCTTTAGTAACATTGTATAGGGCATTCTTTCATTCTTTACCCTCAAAGGTAATTCTGTCCACTATATATACGCACGCTAGTGCAAAACGTAATATGTTGAGTGAATGAATTGAGGTCTACTCTCTCTCTCTCTCTTTCATGGTATCAAAGCCTCAACCTCGTCTTTCTATTCACAGAGGCAGAACCTGTAAGTGTCATATCTTATCTCATCACATTTTCCATCTATATAATCTCATTATCTCTTTTTCTGTTTATTCTCTCTCGTAATCTCATTACCTCATTTTCTGTGTTAATTTCATTACCCAATATTTCATCTCTTCTTCTCATCACATTTTCTAATTCCCTCTCATCACATTTCTCTTAATTGCTACTTCTTCCTTTGTTAATTACGTCAATCTTCATCTCTCATCACATTTCTCTTATTCTCTCTCTTCCTCTTAAAAGTGATGTTTGTCCTCTAAAAGGGCTTATACTTCCTCATCTTCTTGGAGTTACCCTCTTATCTCATTGTTGGGGTTTTTTTTACCTGCTCCTTTTACCTCTTCTTTATCATCATTGGAGTTTACTCTTATTACTCCCAAAAGTGAAAGTTTAGCAACCCTTGTGCCGAACTAGTATCTGGTAAGCGAAATCAAAGTTCGACACCCCTTGTGCCAAACTATATTCTTAAAAGCCAAATCAAAGTTCAGCAACCCTTGTGCTGAACTAGTCTCTAGAAAGCGAAACCAAAGTTTTGCAACCCTTGTGCCGAACTATTCTTTGAAAAGCCAAAACAAAGTTCGACAACGCTTGTGCCGAACTACTCTCTGTAAAGCCAAACAGAAGTTCAATACTCAACCAACCGAAGTAGGTTTTGTCTTCCCTAAAAATTTCGGTAACAGTGGTACTGAAGTAATCGCTGTCACTTTTCAGAATTGTTCCCCTTCTAGTTAGTACTTTACTTTCAAAACTTCAAGTGAAGTAGTTCCTTTTAACTATGCCCTCCCTAAGCTTCCCATCATTTATCTCTATTATACTCAGTAGAGGCAACTACCTCAAATGGAAGGCCCAAGTTTAAAATTGTATTGAAGGCTTGAATCTTGAAAGTCACCTTGATGGGTCTAGTTGGCCACAAAATGAGTTTATTTTTGATGAACCAAAAGAAAATCAAGGCATCAATCCAGAACCATCAAAGGACCCCAAATTTCTAGAATGGCGAATGAAGGATAAACACTATTGAGTTGGTTACTTTCTACTCTCTCCGATGACTTGCTCACTGAAATGATGCACCTAAAGACAGCTCAAGAAGTGTGGGAGACGTTTTACAACACTTATCAAAGGGAGACATTTGCCAATGTTCTCCAGCTTAAAACATAATTGATCAATTTACAAAAGGGGTCTCAATCAGTGACTGAATACCTGAATAAGTTCAAAACTATATGTAACCACCTTGCTGCAATTGGTAGTCCAATAAGTGATCAAGATATGATCTTCTATACCCTCAAAGGTCTTGGTCCATAGTTTTAAGTCCTTTGAGACTTCGCTGGTGACTAAACCTCCATTTCCGTCCTATTCAGAGCTTCGATCCGCTCTTCTCACATATGAAGCTTGGTTTTGTATCTTCATCGGTCGTGGAAAAGTAATTCTCAAATATTGGTGAACACATCATCAAGGCATAGAGGGGGATATGGTCAAGGACGTGGTTGTTATAGAGGTAGATGAGGTAGAGGTCGCAACTAAAATCAACAAGGCAAGAAGCCAACCCATCTTACCATCAACCTCGTTAGCCAAGAATGGGTATGCCACCTTGAGTAATTTGCCAATATTGTAGGCGACATGGACACATTGCTAAAAACTGTTGGGACATCAAAAATGTTTCATCGTCCCACGATGTGTTGGGACATTAAAAATGCTTCATCGTCCCACAATGCACTGGGACCTCAAAAATGTTTCATTGTCCCACGATGCACTGGGACCTCAAAAATGTTTCATCGTCCCACGATGCACTGGGACCTCAAAAATGTTTCATCGTCCCACGATGCGCTAGTGCTTGATTTCAGCAATTTATCAGCCATTGTCCCAACTGATCGTTCTTGGGTTATATGCTTTGATACCATTTAAAATTATGAAAGCCCTAGAGAGAGAGAGAGAGAGTACACCTCAATTCATTCATTCAACACACTATGCTTTACACTAGCGTGTATATATATACAATGGACAGAATTACCCTTGAGGGTAAAGAGTGAAAGAATGCCCTATACAATGTTACTAAAGATAGTCTCTCTCTCAACAGAAATAAGGTTATGTCACTCTTGATTTCGCAGTGAATGCTTTGAGTTGCTTAATAAAAGTGTGAACTAGACCAAGAATATGGAGGTTGTGTCCTCTACTTTAGATTTAGACACCCATTCTAATAAGAGCCTTTATGTTTGTATTTTCGACTCCTGACAAGTTCTTTCCATGCTATTTCTACTGTTGTACAAGTATTTAGAAGATTATCATGGATGCCTCTTGAGCATTGGAGCCTTGCGGGTTCCCATGATCTCCTTGCTGTTGTGCACAGTGGTCTCTTGAGGAATTATGGAAGATCTTGTGGAGGTGGAGCTTCTGTTTTGTATGGTTGGTTTGCTTTTATTTGCCTAGGTGCCTGTCTTCATATAGAATCCTCCATTTGTTCATGGTTTTCAACTATTTAATATCTCCTTTGGGACTGTTTGCATCAAGTATAAGTTGCAGACAGAGCGACTTTATATGATTGGTCTCCTTGGTCTTTGATGTGTATCTTTAGAAATAGTAAATCGGCGTGAGTTGTAAGTTGAACCAGACATATCCTGATGGGGGTAAAACTTTTGAAAACTCAGTCCCCTGGAGTGGTGCACAACTTATATCCGGCATCCAAGCTGGCCCCAAAAGTCCATGATAATGAAAACTTTTTTTGATTGTTAGTTGGAATTTTATTAATATGGAAAGATCATTATATAAAATGAAAGGCAGACGTGAAGGAAACTTTATTAGTCAATTGGAATACGAAATGAGCTGTAGTTATGAATTTCCCCTCAATTGAAAATATTTTCTACGTGTTTTCCTTTGCTGTTATAGGCCCGTGACCAACTCGTATGGATAATTAGGATATACATTGGCGTGATGGTTATAAAGAAGGCATAATACCTTGGCAGAAAACTGTTCCAATAAACAAAATGAGCGGGTGAGCAGAAGAGCAGGAGCAGCGATGCCCTGAATACTCCGGGGTTAGTTTGTTCATCAAATGCAATGGAAACATGATTTACTATATTGAGGAATAGCTTTCCATGATTCAGAGGAGGATGTGGTATAAAGTTAGGAAAATGAAAAAAATTAAACTGACTGGTTGGCAAGGGCTATTCTTGCAAGAATTTAAATTATTTTGAAGGATGTCAAGCATCATGAACTTAAAAGTCAGATGACACGACGCAAATGATACAGATGGATATAGGAGCAAGTTCCACTGAAAAGAATCAGGAGAGGAAGAGAAGATTAGAAAGTTAGAATATATCAGTTGGTTTCCTTTGTGTGATTTGTTATGTAATAGTGATTGGGTGCTTCATTAGCGAGATGTGCTGGGGGAGACGAGTATCTTCTTTTGAAAGCAGTGAGTAGAGGGAAATTGTTGAAGCAAAGTAGGAGGATGTTCTCTCCTTGAATTTAAGAGAAATTAATTGTTATGTTATATTAAGCTTGTTTAATTTCTTATGAGGTACAAGAAATGTCATAAAGATTAGAGCTATATCTAGCATGCGTAATAGGTCCAAGTGATCTAAGGATCATCAATACAAACAATATTTTGAGACACTTTGAGATAGAATAGGTTTCGCTTCCAGCCCTCCACGAAAACAATATGAAAAGATATTTATATAGAAGTCTCTCTAGATTTACCCAACGTAAAGAAAAAACAGTGATTTAACTAGAGCAATTAGGGGAAGCCAAGTTTTGTTCAAATTGCAACTCACACAAGCATGTTCATCGTAACCTTAGTTTCATTTAGACAAGAGTTTTGATTTTGTATAAGACAAAAATCTCCGATCTTCTTTTGTGATAAATCCAAGCACAATATAAGCTTGATATTTGTCCATTTGAAACTAGATTAAGAGAAATTTATGGGCTTTGAAGAATAAGTGAGACCCACAAATAAATATCTAAGAGAAGGCTTGTAACTACATTAATATTAGGAATGCTTAAATACATGCGAGGTCTATGAACAAGATGAGGTTGATAGTCATATGATTCAAGTCAACTAAATCGAATAACCTACAGTCCTGGCTATTTAGAGGTGTAGGGATAGCTCAAATCCTTAGGAAGCCTAATAAAAATTTGTCAGAGATGCCAAGAGTTGCCACTTTGGGAAAATCTGAAGGCTCATTTGCGGGATGAGGAAGAGTTGAAGTATTGCAATTTTTTGGGTACTCACTTCCGAAGTTGAAGGAGCACCTATGATGGGGATTCTTTCTTCTTCACATACTTTGGCATTTGAAACCCTCAGCATGTCTATAATAAGGTTTGAGATTAGTGTTCGCAAAATCGAACCGTAACGGTTAACTAGACATGGGCCTGAAAGATGTTTAACTGGCCTAACCGGTAAACCGGTCGATTCAACCATTTTAACCAGGCAAGTCCTGGGCGGGTATAAAATGTGTTGAAAAAAAATAAAAAAGATACAAAAAAAAATCTACTAAAATATAAAAACCATATAAAAAAGGGTGTGGTTTCTATAAGGTTGCAACGTTAAACAATCCAATTAGGACGCACCTCCAACTTCCCCTAGACAACATGTGCATGGAACCAAGATGTTACATCTCCCTCAGCTTAGATCACATTATAATAAGTTTCCTTTACCTAAGCTAAATCACATTGTAATACAAGAAAGATGGTTTTCCATCGAATTCCGAAACCATTTCATTGGCCAACAATCCATGGTACCGGTTAGAAAGGCGAGCGATGCATATCTCGATGACCTTCTTGAACATGCTATCACCATGGTAGAATGGTTGTTCTAACATATCATATAATTTTGGTGTAAAAAATTATTAGGATTATCTGAAAATCTATTTTCATATCTAATTATAAAATTTTAAATCCCAAAAATGGTTAAAATCAAGTAGATCTATAAATATATGAAAATCTTGAAAATGGACGGTCTCGATAATGTGTTGCAAGATTCACTATTTCAAGAAGCAGTTTTTATTATTCTTCCCTTCTGTTTTGGGCAATTTGCAAAAGGAAGCAGTTTATCTAAGCGTTTGTGGTTTGTGATGGTTGTGGGTGCGCACAGCCTTGCGCATTTTGGGGGATCAAATATGGAATTGGGACTATCGGCCATATTTCGAGTTTTATGTTATGCGTATATATAGTGCTAGTGCAAAGGCAAAAGGCTTGTTGATTCTGATTACCATCATGGTTGATTCTTATTTGATACTTCGGTTTTATAATTCTGCATGACACCTATTGCATAAATAAAGGTCTACTTAATATACTTCCTGTATTTTAAAAGTATTTGTTGGTACATGAAGGAGAGAATTACAATTTACAATCAAGATTACTAAATCCCCCCTATTATTTCAGTGTTACTGCAATTCATGTTCCATGCTTTGAAACTGTTTACCTCTAAGTGATGGCTTGAAATTCTCTGTGGTTGCAAACCATTGTAATTTGCACGATGTTGGAGTGTTTCAGTGAGCAGCAGTTCTCTTTTCCTGGATACTACACGACATTTCTTACACAAGCATTTCTTCTAGCTGCTGATGCTCAAGTGTATATGCTTCTGCAGTTGCATGAAAAGGTGTGTATGCTTTTGCTCTTGTAAAAGCATGAATATCAGCTGGTTTCCTTCGAGAAATGGCCAAAGCTGAAGAGAGAGCTAAATGCAAACTAGGCGATCGGGCAACTAGTGATGTTATAGTGAGGTTGAGGACCAGAGAGGGAACAGATACTTGGTTCTACTGTCACTCTCACATTCTTATTCAAAAGAGCCAGTTCTTTGCGGATAAGCTTTCCAATAAGTGCCCAACTCATCGACTTCTTGACTCCCGTAACTGGGTCGAAGTCTACTATTCTTTGCCTGACCACAGCGATTATGTCAACCTACTTAAGTTGCTTTATCTCCCCGATGAATTGGTTCCCGTAACGTGGAACTGTGTGAAATCTGCACTTGGATCTTTCCGGGCCGCCATTGCTCTTGGTTGTAAAGGAATCAGCCAGCACTGTGTGAATTACTTAGAGGCCATTCCTTGGGAGTCTTACGAGGAGGAAGAAATACTCCAAGCTCTTCCAATCCTTGGTGTGGCAGCCATGCCCATTTTAGCGAGGCTCGAGCCTGTGGACCCGACTGCTGTTAAAAATGTCTTTCTCTCCGCCATCCATTTTGCCACTTCCACCAACAAGATGTGCGATTCTTTCCCTGATGATTTGAAGGCTTCAGCTCAGGAACAAGTGGAATACATGCTGGTTGAGGATGAGGATGCACCATTGGTGATAGCAGACAATAACGTGAAGTGTGAGGTGAGAGAATGTGTCATTAAGCTCTTTTCGGTGTTCAAAGCTCAGCTGGCCTTGCTCTTATCTGAGCCTGAGGGCTCAATCGAGGGAGTTGAGAAGCAGGTCTTGGAGACCTTATCAGACCTCGAATGGATATGTTATATACTTCCGAAGATGGAGCTGATGAAAGAGTTCGTCCATAACTGGGATGCCATTACTGACAATGTTTTGGGAGTGGTTCAGGACAAGAAGTTCGCATCAACCATGTGGGGGGTGAAATCCAAGCTTGTGGAGGTGACCGGGAAGGTTTTGGAGGCTGTTGGTTATGGGAATGTGGTATCTCCTCCACCCATTCGGGTGCATCTATTGAAAGCGTGGCTTCCATATATAAGGAAGATGAAGTCTCTATTGGATTTGCAGTGTGGGCATGAGAAGGGTCCTTTTAAGATGGATCCTGACCTTTGCCAGAGTATTGAGGCAGCGATTGTTTCTTTGGTGTTGGCGTTGCCTTCGAGTGATCAGGGTGAGATTTTGGCGGATTGGTTGGAAGACGAGCAGGTGAGGTTTCCCGATCTCAGCGAGGCATTTGAGGTGTGGTGTTACAGAACTAAGGCTGCAAAGAGAAGATTGGTGGTGGGTGTGGATGGAGTTGCCAATTCCACTATAAGTCATTGATGAACCTTTTTATTTATTTATTTTCCCTATAATTTCAATGAAAGATGTATCCATGATAACACAACAGGCTGGAATTGGCTTTAGCATCTTCGTTGCAATTTATATTGCCTCCCTCTCTGAGAGTGAGCACATTTGGTTTTAATTTATTGCAATGCTCCTACTTTGATCCGGCATATGTTTTATTAAGAACCGAGAGACTGATGCCTCCATACTACTGAAAATGACTTTAGCTTACTGACACATATGGCATTTTCCTGTACCTCAAACGGATCATCGATAGAAACCAAACCAGCCAATCTTGGTAATTTGCGAGACTGGGTTTTCTGAGTTGGTGCCCAAGAAATTAATAGATACTAAGTTCCTGTTTGGATTGCCTAATTTCTTCGGTATGGAGGGTTGCATGTAAGCGTCAATTTGGTGCACCACTATTCACGAGCTCAGTTCCAGGAGCTTTGTTTTTTGGATCGTTAATTCATTTCTTTTGATAGATTCTTACGGGGCGTTTTCAATTTTCAGACGATCGGGGCTCGCATAATCTTCATGAACCGTTAATTATACATTGTAATTATTAATCATGGGGTTGTGATGTCTCTTTGTTCTGATTATTAATCATGGGGTTGTGATGTCTCTCTTTTCCAATGTTACCTCCATCCAACAATTCATCTTAGACCTAAGTTATCCTGACCGACGTGATTATGGATATGAAAAGAATTTAAATCATTTACTTTAGTTCTTTTGCATATACAAAATATTACCGGACCCGGATCGGGTCTATCGGTGGGTCTCGGGTCCATTGCCACCCCTACTGTGTGATATGCGGCCAGTGTTTTGTCCACGTTGCAGCCGACATATCGTTTACCCAATATACAGGTTTTCGTATGCGCTGACTTCACTTTTTCGCTAGTTGGGGATGGGATAAGGCGGGAGTTTTTTATGTGTATTCCCGACGGAGCATATTGTATACTTATTTCCTCAGGTAAAAGACCAACTTAAGAGGACTTGACAATCACTTCGGGGTGTGGAAATGGATCGGGTCGACTCTTGACCTGTCTTATTCTGGACTCTATGACATATAAAAATCTACATCAACTATATACTCTAAAACATTAAAATAAATAAAATACTTTTTTTTTTTTTTTATAGACCCAGACCTATCTATCCCATTACCCAAAATTTGTTCAGATCTAATTTAAACCTATTCCGGTGGGCCGCTCGACCTAAGGTCGACCTACCTGAGCCATTTGCAACCATAATTTTCATATAAATATGTTTTAAACAAAAGATGTTGAACTTGAGTTTTTAAACATTATATCCCACAATTATAGTATTTTCCAAAGGCGATTGAGTTGAGAGTTGAGACATTTGGATCTCTGCTTAACAATTCAATAAGGAAAAGTTTATCTGAGGTTAAGGTCCTAAACAATCAAACTAAGGCGCATTGTAAAAATTCACTAGAATTTTTTCTTTTTTGATGCTCAAAAACCTCAAATCTGATCATCTCGACTTTGATATACATGAACATAAAAAATAATGGACTTTAGGTCTTGAAAATAGTGCATCTTGTAATGCATTATCTATATGTCTAATTTTTAAGTGTTCATACATCTGCTTAATCTACATTGATTTTTTGAAGCTTTAAATTTTTAATCAGAGATAAAATAATTTTTCAAACTATTATAAAGATTTTCGGAACTAAAATGACATCTTTTGAAACTATTCAAAGGTGCGCCTTATTTTGATTGTTTGGAGCCTCCTTATACAAACCACACCCATTCGAGAATATAAGTTCAATACTTTGAGAAGTTAATTTCTTCTTCTTTTTTTTAAAGGTTGGTTTTGGGCTGAAGAAGTTACATGGTACGGATAGTATTTTCCCCTAGGGAGTGCATATATAATATGCGCCCGCCGGTGTAAATAATCCTATGGCTCTATATTGCAAGGATAAGTGCGGGTATTCCGTGTTCGCAACTTCAGCGGTGCCAAACTACACCGAAATCCAAACACCAAACCCCACACTTAATAAACAACGTGACTCAATTTCACAACACAAATTTGACATTAATTCTCTCTTTCTAACACGGCTAAAAACTCTCTCTCTCTCTCTCTAACACGGCTAAAAATAATTGCATTGCCTGCCTCATCCCCCTTGCACAACTTGACCAAATAAAGAGTCAAATGTGTTTTTCAGTCATTTGTGCTATTATGTACAATGTAGAATATATGTATATAAAACAATAGTTTTAAACAGTGGTTTAAAAAATCAGTAAGTGACCTGGATTGGCCACCTCAAAAATCGGTTTAGATCGGTGAATTGATGGATCCAACAAACAATGAAAATCAATTCAAAAAGAGAGTGTTCTTATTCGAAGCGCCTCGTGATCTTCAACCAATTCTGTGCTTCAATATAATTACCTGGAGTAAGCGCTATAGCTTGTTTCCAATACTCAGCTGCTTGATCGGACCAAGTCTCTGCGATTTCAGAATCTCCCTGTCGAATGGCCTGTTCTCCCCGGTCGGGATAGGTGGATCAATTCCTTCCCTTAGAACCGTAGTTGAGAGTTTCCTACCTCATACGGCTCAGCAGTCAACTCTTTTGGCGTTCCGTCTTAATCTACTGTATCTAACTGAATGAGATTTCTCGTAAATCCATCTCATTTTCCGGAAGAAAACACATGAAAAAATAGTGAACCGGCGAAAAAACCGGTCCATATTAGTGAATCGGTGCTCCGGATCGTCATTTTACTGTGTAGAACAGTTAGTTCCTTTCTAGACTCAGCTGTTTTCTTCAATATAGACAAAACCGGAACATGGTGATTGATTCTTGAGCCAGAACCAATGATTCCATGCCGAACCAATGTTTTTTAAAACGTAGGGCGCAGTCCAAACTTGCCGTAAGTTTACATCCTTGTTTTGGCTACTTCAAATGTGACTTTTTATGGATAGAGATGTTGCTAAATCCATCTTTGAAAGAAAATGTATTGACTTTTTATTTGTAATATATTTTTTAATATATTTGGATTCATCCTTTCTTAAGCTATTAAATTTTACTTTATAGGTAGGTATTTTAAATGTTATGGATTTCTCAGACTTAAACTTTAGCCGAGTTTTTATTCTTATGTTAAGGTTTTTAATGTAAGATTTCGGCTATTGATTGTAAAAAATAAAAAATAAAAAATAAAAAAAATAAAAATAAAAATAAAAAATAAAAAATTCGGGTATTGTTTGCTAAGAAAGGGCGCATTAATTTAGAAAAATGAGAAAGTTCCATGACTTAACGCAATTCCAGCATTCTTATCCAAGGTTTAAAATAAAATATGGAGAGAGAGGGGACCTTATCAAATTTCTTCATCCTTTTCAATAACTCATGGGAAGGAACCACACTTTTGTAAAATCATACCCCACATCATAAATATTAGAGAGAATCACTTCTTATGCAGTCCATTGCGGTCTTAATCGATTATTCATTATTATGACCCAGCCATTTAAATCTCTTAAGAAATAACGATGAAAGAAAATATTATTTATATGTTGGTGCACTTCATTTTTTCTCTTATCTAAACTCTATAAAGGATAATATTTAGGATTTTGGGACTCTATCATCTTCATTATCCACATTTTGGTGGGCCCGTCTCTCTGATTTTGTCGCTTCCTTTATTTGCAGGACAATGTCAATATCTTTTTTGAAAAGCCTCTTTAATTTATTGTATATTATCTCTTTAATATTTCTTTTGTGTTTATTAATAAAAAAAAACGAGTAAAGACTCCTCATCCCCACTTATTTACCAAAAAAAAAACTAAAAATGAAAAATGCATATCGGTCTATATATCTCGAGAAAATAATATATCTAAGATTGAACACTAATCTTTAATTCTTAGATCGTCTTATCTATGCCTTTAAGAATTCAATTTTTTTTTTTTTTTTAATAAAAAGCTAATGATTCTTAAATGAATACCAAATTTTTAGGTCAAAAAATTACCTCCTAAATATCTATTTCCCGAGGGAGTAAATGTATAATATGGAAAGGAAAAACAGTTGGCAGGTTCAAACGGTCAAATGTTGCAAAGTAAACGCTTCCAAAGAGGACCCAGTTACAAGCTTCACTCACAGATTCTCTTCCCATCATAACCAGAACCCCCCCCCTCCTCTCTCTCTCTCTCTAGAAACAAGAAGCCGACCTCTCTCTCTCTCTCTCTAGAAAACAAGAAGCCAACCTCTCTCTCTCTCTCTAGAATCTAGACCTTGTAATCTTCTTCGCTCTCTGCAAACGTGAAAATTCTCTCTCCTCTCACTTTTTTTTTCGTTTTTGAATATTCTCTCTCTCTAGACTGAGCACGAGACCGCCGTGAAGCTGAGCACCTCGCCCTTAATATATAAATAATGTTACCACCTTTCATTAATGTCTACCCTTCAACACCTGTATATGCCATGGCCCTCGTCCCTACGCGTTTCCCTGCTTGAATCATTAAAACCCACTTCTCTCTCTCTTCATCCTCCACTCCTCTCTTTCTCTCTCATCAAAACCCACTTCTCTTTCTTCATCCTCTCTCTCTATAACTTCTCTGGTGATTATTTTCCCTCTCTAAGCTTCTCTGGTGATTATTTTCCCTCTCTAAGCTTCAATGGAGATACCTTCGTTCTTCATCTGCCCCATCTCTCTGCAAATCATGAAGGACCCTGTTACAGTGATTACAGGCATCACCTATGATAGAAAGAGCATCGAGAAATGGTTCTTCTCCTACCACCATTATACCTGCCCGGTTACCAAACTGCCCCTCAAAGACCAGAGCCTCATACCCAACTCCACCCTGTTTCGCCTGATACGATCATGGTGCATAGCGAACAGACCATCGGAGGAGGTCCTCACACCCAAACCGCCTGTCGACGCCTCCGCTATCTGTGAGCTTCTCAATGAGGCGAAGATCCCCCAATTGGCCTTGAAATCGCTGGACACAATCTTCTCTCTCATCGGTGCCAGCGAGAGAAACCGCCGGTGCTTCGAGGAGAACGCAGGCACCGCTCGAACCATGGCCTCCCTGATCAATAACGAGCTCAACGACCCACGAGCTGGGGTGGAGGGAGTGGATGTTGATGGGGTCGTGGGGGTTGAGAGCTCGGGCAAAGAGCTAGAGCTGGCCATGGGCATTCTCCAGCTCCTCCATGTGCCGCCGGAGGAACTAAAGAGGATGGGCGAAGAGAGAAGTGGGAGGCTCATAGAGACGCTCTCGTGGTTGCTGCAGAGAGGGAGCTATCGGGCAAAAGTGAGGGCGGCCATGTTGCTAAAGTCAATACTACAGGAGGTCGACACCTGCTATCTCACGACAATAAGGGCTGAGCTCTTCGATGGGGCAGCCGAGATTTTGAAGGACCAGAATTCAAGCCAGGCGACCACCATGGCGGTGCTACAAATCCTCGTCGAGGTTTGCGGGAGGGGTAGGGGTAGAAATTGCAACAAGGCAGTGGAGGCGGGAGTGGTTGCGGTGCTGGTGGAGCTGCTGGCAGAGAAGAAGGAGAAGAGGGGGTGCGAGATGATGCTGGCAGCGCTGGAGGCAGTGTGCGGGCATGCAGAGGGGCGGGCGGCTCTCGTTTCTCACCCTTTGGGAATCGCATCGGTGGCTAGAAAGATACTGAGGGTCTCGCAAGTGGCGAATGAGAAGGCCGTGAAAGTGCTCTGGTTATTGGCGGGGAGGTTCTCGGCGAGCGACGACGGGATTTTGCAGGAGATGATCGAGGTCGGGGCGGTGACGAAGCTCGTAATGGTGATGCAGGGAGCGGAAAGCACCAGGAATACAGGGAAGAAGGCCAGGGAGATACTGAGATTGAACTGGGGGACTTGGAGGAGGTCTCCTTGTGCACCCACCCACCTCCTCTCCTCCTCCTCCTCTCCATCCCATCACTCATGTTTGTCCTTGTGGGACTCGGGCTTGCGGCCCTAGTCCCACTGGATAATTTTTTAAAAAAATTATGAAAAAACAAGGCTCAGAATCGCCTGCCTGGCTTCCGATCCAGCCATTTTTAAGATTCAGGATTTCTTATCAGTAGTGTTCAGTAATTTCTTTTATGTTTGATCTTTAAGGTAAGTGTACAGTGATTGTTTTTGAGGTTTTGTATGATTATTTATATTATAAGATGATTCATTATGAGGTTCAGGTAGAGTTTGGGAATTATTAACATAACATGCAGCTTCACATGAGATGAGATTATTTATGAAGAGAACCACAAGAAAAAGTCTTTGCTGAAGCCATATTCATGTAAAATCACATGTACCAAATCAGAAATGAGAATCTGAACATCTATAAGAAATTTTAAACTCCTCCAACTCTTTCTTGTCGTTCTCTGCATAAATAATCTCATCTGATTTTACAAGAATATGGCTTCAGCAAAGGGTTTTATAACTGAATTTTGCCCATGTTTATAGTGTTTGATGGAGGTTTAAATGCACTTGGTTTATACTGCTACACAAAGGGTGACATTTTTTTGTCCGCGTATGCAGAGATACACAACTATCTGATCTTGAACGGATGTTTAACAGTAAACCCCTCCGTCTATTATGATCCGACAACCATGATGCTAGATTGAGCTATGACGTATGTTTTTAGCTCATTCTTAGTCGTTTCGTTTCTGGATCATTATCAGTTTTGTTATCAATTTCAAATGGTGGTAGGACTCGTATGAGCATAAATTGTATGTGTGCAGAGGTAGTAAGGTTTCCTGAAATAAAATAATGGGTCTTTATTTTATGGAAAACTTTATATAAAGGTGAAGCCCTAAGCAACCACGCCTTAAAAATTCATAATAATAGGTTTTTTAATGCTGAAAACCTTCAATTCGATTATCTCAACCTCAAGATTTATGGACATAAGAAAAAATAGATTTTAAGTCTTTAAAACAGAGCATCTTGTAATATATTATCTAGATCGTCAATTTTCAAGTTTTTCAAGTGTTCATAGGTCTACTCGATCTACACTATTTTTAGATATTTAAATTTTGAGAAAGCATAGAATGAAACCATTTACCTTTGGTACAAGGTGGTCACATTAATTTTGACTATTAGATACGAAATTGGATGTCTGTAATTAGTCCATTGACCAAGCTCAAACTTCAAAATAAATTTTCTTGAACTTTGTGATACATCCAAGCTATCAAATTTTACATCAGATGGTTGTAAGTAATTGTGACCACCTTGTATCAAAGGTTAATAGTCTCTTTATATACAATCCCTTAAATTTTATAATTAGAGATGAAAAAAAGATTTCAGGTCACCATAAAGATTTCTGATATGGAAACAACATATTTCAGTTGAAGTTACCCCTTACTTTGATTGTTTAGCGCTTCGGCCTTATCCAAATTACACCCTTGTTTTATATCATGTGTGTGGAAATAAAAAGTTTTCCCATGCATGAAATACCGAGTCTTTGTTTTGTATTACCACTCTTTAAGAGATTTCGCTTAGAGTAATTAATCTTTGAATATGTTTAGAAAGGTGTGTTATACAAGATTTTTCAATAAACACATGTAATTAAAAAAATTCATCCAATTTGGACAAAAATCAATTTGATCTGGTCTTTTCTAGGTAGTAAACCATTAACAGTATAAAGAGTTGAAGTAAATCCATTATTCATTGAGCAGGACACTTGTTATAGATCACAATCATTTAGTATGCTTGAAAATTAGGGGATTTAGTCATAATTGCTTCTACAAACAAGAGTGAAAGCTCTTCCACCAGGTTTTCTCACCATTTGTTTTTCCTTATTTAATAATATGCTGATTTATACACAACGAGAGAAAGCAGTTTGATCTCTTCAAAGCTATCTTATTCTAGATTTGATTCAATCAATTGTAAAAGGCTCTGCAACATTCAAACTGGTTCCTACAAACATTCTACCTTAGGTAAACACAATCTGATCATTCCATCTTTATAATATTTTTATTAAAAATATTATTATAATTATAAAAGTAATGTAATGTTCAAATAGTCATAAAAAATTAAAAATATAAAAATTATAATTAAAATACATAGAAAGGAAAAAATTGAATCCTTTTTTTTAAGCATTCATTATCAATGGGCATTAGCTATTAAGGTAAAAATAATTTTTAAAATGAATATAAAAATATTACTTTAGAGAGATCAAAAGAGGCATAATTCATTTGAAAAATAGCAAGAGAAAGCTAAAAGAGAGTATAACATAAATAAACAAGTTATAAACAATTAAAATAAATAATAAAATAAAAAACAATAATAAAATAAAAAACAATAATAACAGTAGTAGTAGTAGAAAAAAAAGAGTTTTCTAATTTTATGTGTTTCTGAACATATAAGGGAAGAGAGAAAGAGAGAGTAACGTAGTTGTTTGATAACTTTTCACTACCATCTCTTTGATAAATGATGTGATGCTGCTAGCGTTGTTGACTATCTTAGATTCCGGGAAAAGAAACCTGTTTGATAAACGGTGTGATGCTGCTAGTGTTGTCGACTATCATAGATTTTGGGATGCTGGTGAAAATTGATAGGATAAAAGTAAGGAAACATGTTTGATAAACGGTGTGATGTTGCCTGTTTGGTAATAGCAAAGCTGTAAATAGGAAAGTTGTAACACTATTTCATTGATATAATGTGCAAAATGCCATTTTTTAAAATTATTTTGTAATAGTATTTCATTGATATAAGGTTCCTTCCATTCATCCAATATAGTATCAAACATGTGAATAGATTCAAGGAATACCAATACTTACAAAAATATTGAAGAAAATAAACAAAAATATTGAAGACAATATTTATTATTGTTGAACAAATGCAATTGAAAGCTAAAAAAACAGAAAAGTAGTACTAAATCAGAATTATAAACTAAAAAGAAACTTATTATATCTTGTTTATTGATTAGTTACTACCTTCAATGAAACCAATCTAATGAAATGGAAATGAACCTGCACAAGGGTCAAACATCATCATTCATCAACCTTCATGACTCTAGATTGGAAGATTTATAAACTAAAAAAAAAATATCTTGTATAGTATAGGCATCCCAATATAAATCACCAATGAAGGGCAGCTCTCATATGATGTGAAATGCTTGGTCCTTGAAGAAAATGATTGCAATTTATTTTTTTTTAGAATTGAGAATTCCTTATTAATAAAAAAAGGGTGTAGTTTGTATAGAGCCTAGGCTTTAAACAATCAAATTAGAGCCTACCTTCAAATGATGTCAAAAAATGGGGTTTCAATATTGGAAATTTTTGTGATAGCATTAAAATATATGTTCATCTTTATTTATAACGTTTAAAGCTTCAAAAATAGTGTAGTTCGACAGATCTATGAAAACTTGAAAATTGACGGCCCAAAAATGCGTTACAAAATACACTATTTCCAAAACTTGAAATGCATTTTTTTGTCACGTTCATGCATCTTGATGTGGAGTTGATCAATTTAAGGATATTTGGGCATCAAAATAACCTCTTCTAGTGAAAATTTTTAGGGAAGGCTCTAATTTGATTGTTTAGAGGCGCAGCTCTATATAAACTTTTCCCATTAAAAAAAAAAAAAAATACAGTCCAATTTTTTCAGAATTGAGAATATGGTATATACACTGAACCATTAAAAAATTCATTTGCTAACATCCCTCGATGGAAAGTATAGATATAAGGATGTATCCATGTGGTATGAATTGTTTTGTCACTGAAAACAATCAGTCCACGTAGATTTTCTAATACAATAGACATTTGTAGTCGTATGAAATTTTGTCAATGAAATAAATCGACTGATACATAAAACAATTAGTCCAAATAAATTTACTAAAACAACAAGTGCTAACATTGATTTATATCTATGAAATCTTGTCAATGTAAACCAAAAGAATGCGGTGACTGACCAAAGAAAATAACACATGTTAATATTTCTCAAAACATACACAAAAAAAATCTAAAAATAAGAGAAATATTTTACAGTTTTCTGAAAATAATCCAAGTAAAAACTTTCCAATTCAAATTGGTTACGTTCATCACAACATGTACAAGCAATGGAGAACAGAAAAATACACGGAAAAAAAAAAAAAATTTCCAAAATCTCTATCTTTGCATGCAATTGAAAACCACGGGTTGCTATTTTTAACATGCATTTGGGGCATCGAATATTACGAATCACGAAAATTATATAATCGAATTTTTGGGTACTTAACAAAAAGGAAAGCCCTAAATTTTTTTACACAATGGGAGAGAAAAAAAAAAAGAGTTTTTTAGTTTTATGTCTTTCCATGCACGTAGGAGGAAGAGAGAGAGTAAATGTGGAAGTTACACAATGGGAGAGAAAAACGTGGGAATTGGAATGAAACGTGGGGAGGTGGAGAGAAAAAAGTTTCCTATTTTTATGTCTTAAGAAATAAAGGGGTTGCTTTTCTAGCTTTATATATAAATAGAAGGATATGTATTGTAAAAGGAAAGTATATATTATGTATCCCGTTAATATAGAAGGTGTATATCGTAATAGTAATTATGGGAATGGTAGGATATTGTGTCCTATATTTTATAGTAAGTCAGTTAATATGAAAAGGGTAAGATATTGTGTCATGTATTTTATTTTATAGTATATCTTTATATAATTTAAGTGTCCATGATTTAGTTTCTATATAGATATAGCATACAATTAAAGAGTTTAGGGGTCTATGATTTAGTTTCTATATAGATATAGTATACAATTAGATATTGACATATCTCAATATCCAGTTGCTCTGTTCACATGTATTATTTAAACCCTCCAATTGTCTCCTTGGCTCGCAACGTCAACAATGGCTTCCAAGATTTCCACCCTCTCACTTGTTCTTCTTCTTACTTTTATCATCGTTGCTGCTGCTGATACTGATGGTTCTTTTCGCTTCCTTCTATTTTATAGAGAGAGATGGAGATTTTGAAATTTAGTTATGGGATTATATAATATATCACCGTTTACTTTGGTACAAGAAGTTTACAACAACTCTTAACTTTTAAATGAGAAATCGGGTGGCTCCAGGCACATGTCATTTTTCGCGCAACGTAAAGAAGAATGTTGTTGAGCTTTGAGCATTGTTATGAGTCATTTGATTTCACATTTGATAACTAAGAATAATTAAAATATTCTTCTTCAGCTAAAAGTAAATGATCTTATTGTATATTTTTTTCCTTCAAATCGCTCCATCTCTTTTAAATTTAAAATATTTGTTCTGTTTTGCAGATTGTAGGGTAGTAGGGTCGTGTGAGAGCAAGGACCAGTGCAGGAAACTCTGCAAGAAGAACAACTTCGACCCACATGCTGCTCTTTGTATTCCTTCAAGAAACCCCGACATCGCCGATTGTTGCTGCATTATCTATCGATCCAATTGATTACCTCGTTTTGTTTTGTGGAATTTCTGCCGATCAGTTTGAGGCTACCATTCATGTTCTCTTCTGTTTTAGCAAAGTACAGTATTGGTATTCCTTAGAAGTTGTTCCCAATCTCTGATTCTTTCTGATTAGTTAGTAAGATTAAGAGGTTGAGTGGCTCTATGTCTCATATATAAGTGGGTTGGAATGAGATTTTCATATTCATAAGATTGAAATGTCAGTTTGTTCTTCAATTGATCGTCATTTTTTCTTTTTTGTTTCTCTATAAGGTAAGCCCAAAAAGTCATGGTTGGAAGTAGTGGGAAAGATGTGGGCATTTATGACCTTATTAAGAATACATTCCTTAATACAACATAATGGCATACCAGAATTTATGTAGTTGGCCCCAATTAGTTGAAAAAAAGCTTTGACGATGATGATGAATTAGGTGCAATTGTATAAGAATAGAGATATTAATTCTTAAAAATTGTTTGACGTGTTTGTTTGCTTCCTTTTTCTTCCCCTTGGATATTTGATTGTGATATTCATGAAAATTATACAATACATCTCTCTCTCTTTTTTTTTTGCTTTTTTTATTTCTCTTTTTTGTTATTTTTTACTGGTCACTCCCCCCGGGAAACTGTACATAGAAATATTTTTAGGAATTCAAAATTTGGATCACCTATTCATTGCAGCGACCCATTTCAAAAAATGCTTGAGAATGATAACATCAAATTATTGGAAGGTAATGATCTAAGTGTTTAGAAACTCAAAATTCAATTTTTGTTATTGAAAGAGGAAAGATTTCTATAAGGTTCCAACCTTATACTATAGAAGTAATGTGCACCTCAAAAATCCAATGGAAAAGAGTGTTCTAAAGTTGGAAACACTTCCAATCAATCATCTCAACCTTTAGATGTATGGATATAAAGAAAAAAAGAATTTTAGGTCTTAAAAATAGTGTATCTATGTAATAAGTTATATAGACCATCTATTTTCAATATTTTTAGGTGCTTATAGATATGTTCGATCTTCACTAGTTTTAGAATTTTAAATTTTATAATTGAAGTTGAATATGGATTTCAAGCCATCTTAAAAATTTTATACCAAAACTATATATTCTGAAAAAATTTAGAGGTGTAGCTTACTTATGTAGTATAAGGTGGGCACCTTATACAAATCTCACCTTTTTTAATATATAGATTTGGTGTCCCAAATATTTTAAATCGAGGCTTGAGGAAGTAATTGCAGATCTTCTTGCAATAGCATATGATACCGTGCTTTTTGTGGGCAAATGCAGGTAAAATAGACCTTATGAATCCCTATAACTAAATAAATTATTATTTTTTGACTGAAAATACTAAAGCAACGATTTATTTGTTTCATCCCCTTTTCTCAATGGGAGAGAAAGAGGTATTTTTATTTAAAGATTTTTTTCCTTTTATTCTTATCCAATACATTTAACGATTTGCTTCATTGTGGTTTTTCACTAGTGGTCTCTAGACTATCTCCCAACAATTTAAGAGATTATACTGTGTACATCAGGTACAAAAAAGTCATAATTACCCATAGACTATCGTCCTCGAGGTCTATGAACACTCTTCTTAGGATTCATGTAAAATAACATGATACACCCCCTCTGTCTAATTTTATGTGTCGCTGTTTACATGGTCCCATTATTTTAAGCAAAGACCAACAATTAGAATTCTAGATAAGTTTATGTGAGAGATTATATTATGCAAAGATCTACAACTGATATTCTTTTAAGCAAAGATTAACAATGGGCTTTTTAAACACATCAGGGAACCAAAAAATTTCTGATTCCTGGTTTTACATGTTGAATGGTTTAGTCACATCCAAATTTCAGGAGAGGAAGAACAAGAATCCGAGAGGAACATTAAAGATCAATTTGAAGAAATATGTTTTGAACCATTTTAGGTGTTGGGTGACTTCCCATTGTCCCTTGGGAAGCCCCAAAACAACCCATTTACAATTGGTTAGAAAAAGAAGTGGGAACCTGAATTGAATGAACCCCCAGCTTTTCATTGAGCAAGCTTATACACGTTCAATAAAATATTTCGTCGACTTTGTGCAGAGAAATGACACACTCCCATGCGCCTATTTCCATTTATAATGGTATTGATATTCTTGTGCAAAAGGTAAATAGTCTTCTTGTTTGTTTTCCCTATAAGAAAGAAAAAGCACTAAATTCATTTAGAATTCAAGCAGGGGCTGCTTTGGATGAGGTGTTGATGATTGCAGCACTGTGTATCACCAAGTTCTAATCCTAACTTTGAATTACCCAAAGAAAATAAAAACCTATAAAGTTTTCTATCTCATTTATGCTCTTCCATTCTTTTCCTTTTCCTTCAGTATCAATCAGTTGTGATAGACTCACAGTTTGCATCCAGTACCCATTTGTATTTAACTTATCTTATAAAAACCTGTGTTGCTCTCATGGGAACTGAGGGCAATGAATTGGGCATTTTGAGAGAGGTTTGATAATTCAAACTTTCGTGGCAAAGCAACAGGTATCACAACCACAATCAACAGTGACCCCAAACTTCATCTTTCTAACATGACACTCCTTACATCATTTAGATAAAGGGAAGGTGGGATTTTAGGGAGCATTAGGTACTCTTATAATGGGATTTCAACAAGAGAGTTTAAGAAAAAATGTTCCAAGTTTTTAAAGTGTCAACGAGCATTGTATTCTTGGTATGTCTACAAATGCCAAAAACCATGGACCTGTGTATCCATGATATATCACGACCAACAATCAATTCCGAATTATTTCTTAAGCATGAGCCAAGCCCAAACAATCCAACAATTGGGTTAAGGCATATTTGTCGTTGCAAGGTTCATATCTCTCTACCAACCCCGTCCCCTCCCCTCTCCCCCCACCCACGCACCCACCCACCCAAAAAACAGAAAAGAGAAAAAAGGAGAGAAAACCCATTAACAAGTGCATGCCCACGCAAACAATGTAACTAAAAGCATAGAGCATACCCATCAGCTCGAAGCAGACTGGTCCATCAAAACTTCATCAGTGTACTTATCCGAGACTCCACCATCAAAATCCTCCTCTCTTGCCACTTCTTCATTGGAAGGGGATTCAACCCACCCAAGGTTTACAGCTAAGTCCTCCACATCTACCTTAGCAACATCACTTCTAACCCCGATGTCCGTTGCATACCTGCTCATACAGTACACACTAGCAGTGACAGTAGCCATGCCCACAGGCCCAGCCATTAAAAGCTTAAAGGGAGAGGACAGAACGGCAGCCAAAGGAGCCCCTATAAGAGATGAAAGCTGCCCGCTTCTCCCGAAGCCCGACTTATCCAGCACAAGCAGGCCCGTCTTGCAATATAAAGCAAAATCCTCACAATTGTTCTCGAACACATCATAGTTGCCGAAGCCATTTTGGAGGAGGTACATAGCCCTGTGGATCACTATCTCGGGTGGGTCAGAGGAAGCCGTGGTGCACGTGCCGCCCCGGATCTTGGCAAGGAACACAGAGGGCTTGGCTTCATATTCGAAGCAGTAGAGGCCTCCATTGCCAAGGAAACAGTCCAAGCACGAGAGGACCACGCCACTGTTGGGCTGCCGGAACCCGCAATCTGGATATGTGGGGCATGGTTCCTTTGAGCTCGAGCTCGATGATGAGTCAAGGGGCATTTCGGAGCCTGTCTCTCGAGTGAAATGGACCACCTTGTTTCCCCCAACATATATACCTGCAAATATACATTTTTCATTCACACTGTTTTCCTCGGAAGTTACTTTTTATAGCTGAATTAAAAAGGAATGCGAAAGGAACATTACAGGTAAACCAGATTCATTGGGAAAGGATGCCATTAAAGTAACTAATAAGAATGTTAATGGCCCAAATTGTAATTTGAAAATCCCAAAACATGTTGTAATCAACTAGCCTATTGACCCAGGTGTAGTCTTGCACCAGATTATGATCATCTTTAAGATATGGATCTTACAAAGCTTAAGATAAAAAGTAGCCACCAAATCACCAGTAACCAATAAATAATGAAGATCTTTAATTTTAACAATAGATAAGAGATGGATAATTCCACCTTTAATTTTTTTAATCATTTCTACACATCTGCATTCCAAAAATTCATGAGAACAAAGTGTTAAGAAAAAGGAATTCAGAAGAACAAATATTTTGGTACAACCACAAGCATAGAGATTGTAGCAAATGTGTTGGGAAACTAAAATCCTGTCATTTTGCTCATTCCTAATTGCCTAGGAAATAAGTAGCTCCTCAAAAGCATGTAGTTAAAAGGAATGAACAACCAGCTCCTTAAAAGTGTCTGCATCAAGAAGTTCAGTTGAATGAGGAATACTTGAACATAAGAGATGGCTTCATACATAATCTAGAAAGGCACTGCTTTTGGAACATTTTGATGTGAATCAATGGTACAGTTCATTCAGATTTCTCATAAACATACGGAACTACCAATCAATTGAAAGGTTTACAAATATGGGCTCATGGCAAGAACAGATCATGTGGAAAGAGAAAAATCTCAGCCCAATTGGCATGATGCAAATTTGCTTCTTTTAGTACAAAAAGACGTGCAAAATCGGAAAAAAGTACACAAACTGGTACATGTACAAAACTGATATAAAAGGAGAATTTTCATTCCAGAAACATAAATAGATACACACAAAAACCACCATATAGAACTTATATCTTGGACTACAACGATCTTAATGTGGCATGAAGACATATCCAATATGAAATAATTGGTTTGAAAAATATTTCTCCATCAATTCACAACAAATAAAAACTCAATTTCACTCACTAAAACATTACATTCCTTAAAATGTCGGATGATGTATAAACTACAAGCTAAAAACAACTCCCCCGAAGAAGCCCAATTGCATTAAACTGTGCGGTGATCAGCTGCCAAAAACACCTGAGAAGCATCTATGGGAGGAGTGATTGAAAAGATGAGCTTACATTAGAAATTGCCTATACATGTTCAAGGGCGTGTTGGTTTTTTAGGCAAGTGGAAATGCTAATCAAGTATCAGCAATTCACAAGAAAACCCTCTCTGACTTCTATGCGCATTGTGTACAATAAATTTTGTTGGACACAGAGAAATCACATAACAAAAAATGGGCGACTTCTACTCGAGAGTGATTAAGCAAAATTAATACTTTTTTTAATCATTTAAAATTGAAATTGAAAGTGCATACATAGCATACTGGAAAACAGGGGGAACAGTTAATGCCATATGCTACTCAAAGTCCATAAACAAAGTCAACATCAACATAAAGTTTAGTAAGGGCCATGCTACAACCTTTTAGAATGGAAAGTCTCATTCATAATCTTCTTACTTTCAGAAAACAACCAAGATAAAACCAAATATCTTGTTTTTGCCTAGAAAAGCTAATAATAAAATAGAATGTTTCAAAAGGTGACAAATAAAACACAGGGTAGTCTGACCCCAAGTCTGTATTAACAGAGATACTTCTTATTATATGTTAGTGAAACATAATCAGATCTTACAAAATATGGATAAAAAACAGATTTTATGAAATAACCACCAAATCTGGATATAATCTAAGATGCTGACAATTGATCTCATCAGATGGATTTTTTTTGCATGTGATTTACTTTTTGCAATTCTTTTATAAGATATTTCACAAATTGGTTTTCAAAATCTTAGTATTCTAACTTTTTTTTCCACTAGTAGGAATCAAGCTTGGGCTTGAGTGGTTGGCAATTGACATCAAGCAACGCTCCATCTCAAGTTCGATTCCTGCCATGGAACAACCCTTAAAAAAGAAATATTTTGCTTCCACCATATGCCTTGGTGACAATTATTGTTCTTGTGATATTTTCAGAGGGGAATCTTTTTTAGGATATTGTGGTAATAGTCAGTTCATCGGGAATTTATCAAATATATAACATGGACTTAAATATATTAAATTAATTTTATTTATCATGGGATCAAATTTTATTAACTCTGCCTTTAACCAGTCCTATGCCGGTCCCAAGCCTGGGTAAAGAAGGAGAGTTGCATTAGATAAGCAACCAATGTAAAACTCTGCCACATCTTTTCGTGAATATTTAACGGAATAGGATTCGTATAGCCGATCCCAAATACTTGGATAAGGCTCGGATGATGATGATGGTAGGATCAATTTTTATTTAAGATTAGTAAGTATGAATCAAATCACATTTAAAAACATTAATGTGATAAAATTCTTACGAAGATGAAGTTGACAATCATTTCTAATAGGATTTAGGAACTCGCCTTTGCCAAGGGACTCAGCCCTTGACCGAAGCAAGTTATTCGGCCGAGTTTAAGTGGACTTAGCGGAGTTCTGGTCCAAAAACCCTAGATAATTCTTAAAAAATCCAAAAATTTTGAAAAAATAAAATAAAGCTACTTAAAGTTAAATAAGATCAAAGACAACCATAAAAACTCACAACAAGTTTCAAAAAGTACAGAAAAAATTGATCTATAGTTGGGACATTTTAAAAAATAAAAAAAACAAAAATAGGGATTATACCAAAAAAACTCACCATTCTTTGCCAAAACCATCGCAAAAAATTTAGGCAACAATCCCTCATTTTTTTTTATAATTTTTTGAAATTGTTTTCAATTTTTTTTATGCCCTAAAGTTGTACACACAACTGGGGTATGGTGAGGCCGAGTTACTCCCCGGATTCGTGTGTGACCAAATTCTAAAAATTGACACTATCTTACTAGCTTTAATTTACATGTCCATAATCAATTTTTACAAATTGCTCACAATTTTATTCCTTAGGGTTTTAGACCTATTTTTAAGGAAATAACATGTTTATTTTCATGCCGGTCCCAAGTCCAGGTAACGGAGGAGGGTTGTGTGAGGTAGGGCAGCCATTGTAAAACTTTGCTAAATCTTGTCAAGAATCCTAAACTTATGAGTAGAGTGGTGGAACGTAGCCAACCCTAAATAGTTTGAATAAGGCTTAGGTGATGATGATATCATCGGAATGATTATCGGTGCTAGAACTTATGGTGATGAAAAAAAAGACACAATGAATTTAACATAGATAATTGTCACTATGTTAGCCACTACATACTATATATCATCTAGTCCCTGAAACTGCATTGAATCCATCTCTTCAATGGCAAGGAGCATTTTTCAGCTTGTCACCTCAATCAAAATTCTGCATGCCTAAAGTCAAGTTACACTTGAAATAAACCTGAAAATTTTCAGAACCCAATTGAGCTCTGACTTGTATCAAAAGCAAGCATGGAGCAAACAAAAAAACATAGTTACAATGTATCAGAAAACAGAAATACATTTGAGAACAAATATGAGGAGAAACTCCAGTGACAATCCAGCAATGGCAATGGCAAGAAATCCACGGAAACAATTTACGGTTAGACAGATCAGATGGTTTCATTGCTGAATTTTGAGTTGGGCATCACATATTCTCAGAAATCAGACTGACCCAACTTCATCCATTGATTAAAAAAAACAAAGGAGAGGAGGAGGAGGAGAAGCAGACCATGGTGAGAGTAAGTGAAAGCAGCTCTCCACGTGTAGATGTGATCTCCTACCTTTAGCTCTTCCCTCTCCATTTTGTTCGTGAGAAGCCCCATTCTCTCTCTCTCTC